GATTACTGGCATGTGCCACTGTGCCTGGCTCCCAGTGGTCTTATGTGGTTCTAATTCATTTGTTAATTATCTGTCCATCCTAATACAAGATTAAGTTCCAGAAGAGAAAGGACTTCATTGTCTTTTTTTTTTTCTGCTGACTTTCCTATACCAGTGCCCACCTTGTGGGCACTCAGGAAAAACTGATTGAAAAGAACAAATGCCAGTGGCCTCCCCACTCTGCATGTCAGTGCCCCCATCTGTATAATGGAGATGACCATGCCTGCTTGGAAGGATTGCTTTCAGTGCTTACTGATGTCATGGATGGAGCACTCGGCACACTGTAGATGTTCAATAAACGTCATCCATGCTCCTCCCTGATCTCAGCTTCCCATCCTTCCTACCCTGCAGGGTGCCAGCCTGCCTGCCTGTCTTCCTGCCCATCCTGAGGTCTCTGGWCAGCAGGAATGTTGATACATTTTTAATCCCACAGACAAGCACCATACACAGAGTCATAAAGGCACAAACAGTTGACAGAGCCCAGGCAGGGCCAGGATCCCTGCGATTCTCTTCTGAGAGCTCTCTGCTCCTGCTCTTCCACCTGGGATTTTCTCCCATGCCCTTCCCCACATCCTGCCCCCCTTCTTGCCTCCAAAGCTTCAATAGTCATTCTCCTTAGAACACTCTCAGGAAGGAGAGAGGAAAGAGAAGGATGCACAGGRCCATTTTCCAGGGAGAGAGAGAACAGGAACAATGAGACGTCCTTGAGAACTCACAAGCAAAGGGCCTGACCAAGAGAGGCCCGGGAGACTGACCTTTGCCATCCAGTGCCCTGAAGATGTGTGGCATGGGGAATCTGTCGTGCTAGAAAGTGACAACCCAGTATCCAGGACCCCTTCTTGGGACTGTACATATGAAGAGACAGAAAAAGGTGGCAAACGTTAACAATTGGTGAATCTAGGCAAAGTACGTTTGGGGTAGTTATTATACTCGTGGCGCGACTTTTCTGTAGGTTTTATTTACTATTCCTTCAATGTTTCTCTAGGTTTGACATTTCCAAAAATAAGGAAAAAAGAAACAGTGGCAGAGATACTAGTGGTTCACTGTAAACATTCTCTCTTTTTCACAATTATATTCTTGGAAGTCATGTGCTCAGCTAAACGGCCACCCTCTTCTGACCTCCCTGCAGCTCAGGTGAGCCAGGGGACAGAAGTAGAAGTTGTTGACTTGAGAAAACTCCTCAGAAAATACTCGTTTGCACCCTACTTCCCTTCTTCCTGCTTTCCRCACAGTCATGCTGATGATGGCTGGAGCCACAGCAACCATGAAGTGATCTTGAGGATGGAATTCACATAATAAGGCTGCATCAGAAGGGTAGAAGGAGGCTGGGTTCCTATGACTGTGAAGCCACCACGCCATCTGTAGACTGCCTACCCCTGGGCTTTTTTAAGTGAAGGAATGCCTGTCTGCCTTACTTAAGCTCCTGCACCAGCAACCAAACTTCCCACCTGATTTGGAATCTAACCTCTTCTCGTTCCCTCCGCCCTCTGGACTTCCCCACTCCCCAGATCCTCTGCTGGGAACTCTCTGCACCACTTGTAAGATCCTTCTCTTTCAAATCCCAGCGTTGAATATCACTCTCTCCTGGAGGCTTTCCCTTCGTTCCCCTTCCCTCTGTGGACTCTGTAACTCCCTGTGCTGCGGTTAAGCTCCCCAGCAGCCCACCTGCTGTCAATCCAAAGCCGAATCATCTCCTTTGACCTCTCTGCAGCTGACCTCCAGATCCTAGGCTTCTGTCACTCTCTACTTCTGTCTGAGTCACTGCACTTCTCAGTCTCTTCCCAGCTTCCTCTGCCTCTGGCCACCCTTAGGGCTGCAGTGCCACAGGGTTCTCTGTTGGTGTGTGGGGGGGGGGGGCCTCTCCTCTTTTCACTTTCCACGGACCCCCGACAATCACCATGCCTCCATGGCGTCAGCTCCCACCTCTCTGCCAATATGACTCCAAATCCAGTCTCTAATAATTTGCCTTGGTCTGGCTCATGGAACCAATGGTTAAAGCTTCAGGAATTTGGGAGCCAGTTGTCACTGACTCCCATGGCTCCCGGCAGAAGCTGCCACCACCACCACCACCTCCTCTCATCAGAACAGACTGGCCTCTTTCCGTGCTTCCTCCTGGCACCAGCCTCAGGTTCCCATCCAGGGTGATAGGTCGAAGGCTGCGTGTCAGTCATGTGTCTGGGCTAAGGGAAGACTGGGAAAGCAGGTACCTGGCATTGTCAGTCCTCAGAGGGGGAAGCAGTCCCTGCTTCCTAAGGTAGGGCACCCCCAAACATCGGAAGTGAAAAAATCCAATTTCCCTTAAAGCCAAAAATAACTCCAGCTTTCTGCCACGCCAGTTTTAAAAATCATACAGGTAAATACTCTCCAAGGCAAAAGAATAAAACAGCCCAAAGATGAAAGGTGGTTAAATTTAAAAGTTCCCCTCCTCGAGCCCTCTCAGTCACACTTCCCAGAGGCAACTACTGTTTGCAGGGGGTTTTTTTGGAACACTTTGCAGATGAGTTCTTCAGACCCTCGGGTGGGATGAGGAAGGATGGACTCTTCACTGGGGCTGGAGATGGGGAACGGGGTGGAAAATGGAGATCGTGCGGCGGTGACGGGGCACCGGTGGGCTGGTGTGGACGTACCCTGGGGGACGGGTCTTCTCTGAAACTGTCTGGGTAGCGGTGGGGACATGCGTCCGAACCTGTGTGTGTGTGTGGGGGGGGAGGTCTGAGCAGGCGATTGGTTCCAGGACTCTCTGTAGATACCAAAATCAGCAGATGCTCAAGACCTATAAAATGACAAAGCACTTGCATATAACCTACACTATCCTCCCATGCTCTCTAAATCATCTCCAGATTACTCATAACATCCAGTACAATGTAAATGCTACATAAATCGTGGTCACACTGTATTGTTTAGGGAATAATGACAAGAAAAATGTCTGTTGTGTTTAATACAGATGTGATTTTTTTTCCTAAGTATTTTGTTCCATAATTGTCTTTTTAAATATTTTTTTTAGTTGTAGGTGGACCCAATACCTTTATTTTATTTATTTCTATGTGGTGCTGAGGATACAACCCAGTGCCTCACAGTGCTAGGCAAGCACTCTACCACTGAGCCACAACCCCAGCTCCCCGTTCCATAATTGTTTGAATCTGAAATGGGAAATCTCTGGACACAGTGGGTCAACTATATGTATGTATTTGTATATAAGGTGCCTGTGTATAATGTATAGTATGGGATAAGTATATGTGTATATACCAATATATACTTATATGTTAATATATGACTCTATTCTGAGACGTAGAAAATTATATTTTTATTTGGCTTCTTCAACACCTAACTGTTTAGCATCCTACTTCTCTCATCTAACACCATATTTTGACACATTCCCATATCAGTACACATGGGTCTAGCTCATCCTTTCTAACCATAGCATAGCATCTCACTGGGTGATTGAACCCCAATTAAATAGCCAGTCCTCTACAGATGGGCACTTATATTCTTTTCAGTTTTTTTTTCTTTTGCTACAATAAACTGTGAACATCCCTGCACAAAAATCTGTGTGCACTTTGTGAGTAGAGATCCACAGGATAAATTCCTGGAAGGGGAGCTCTTGGCTCAAAAGGAACATGCACTTATGCTTTGGGTAAACATTGYCAAATTGTCTTCCAAAACCCTGTGCCAACTTGCAGTCTTACCAGAGTCCTGTGAACATCCCCACCCCCAAACCTCATCATCTGCCTCTTATATACCCTGCATTTCTGGCCACAGTATGTTTGGCCATGTCATATTCATAGCCTAGAATTCCCTTCCTTCCTTGTCTTCTCATCTTTAGGGTCCCAACTCAGACATTGCCTCCTCTTTGCTGCCTTTCCTGAACCCCCTAAACTGTCAGAGTCCCTTTCCTTGAGAGTTCTATATTTTTTTAGAAATAATTCTATCATTGTACTGACTGAGGACTACCGTGGCATTCTATGACCACTTTTACAATCCCCACCATAAAAAGCAATCTTAACGTTCTCATTCTCCGTTCTGGTTTTCCTGGGCTGCTTTGCCTTTCAACTGTTCCAAAGCAGGTCTTACCTCAGTGCCTTTGCACTTGCAGTTCCCTCTCTATAGATCTTGCCTTCACCCACTTTATCCTTGCTGTTTCTCTGGGGTCTCTGCTCTAATGCAACTTCTTGCAGAGGCTTTCCCTGACGATTCTGTCTCAARCACTCCTCCTCTGGTCACTCTGTTAGGCCCCTATTTTATTATTTTCATAACACGTCTCACAAGCTGTGAAATGATCTTGTTTGGTTTAAGAGTTGATGCAGTAGCATCTATTTTCCATTCTGCCTCCCATCTTCGCAAGCACGTATACATACAGAGGGGATCATGTTTTCCTTTCCTCCTGTGGCCACCCTCGAACCTGCACCCTTGCCTCAGTGCTCAATAAGCATACTTTGAATTAACCACCGTGTTTTACAGAAAAAAACTAAGCCTCCCAAGATCCCATAGCTAAATAACAAGCACAACTAGGATCAGCACCCAATTGCACCTCAAAGCCAACCGCACTATTTCTTCCCTACTCTTAGCAAGCCGCATTGTCCCTCCTCCCTCACCCCTAAAACACTACACGAATCTCACGACCCTGGTTCCCCAGCGGCGCGTCAGAGGCCGGTCCCTGGAGGCTCGTTGGCTCCGCGGAGATGTCACCCTCCCCGCCCCCTGTCAGTCAGACCGAGGGGGCGGCGCGGCCGCCGGTGGGGGGCGCTGAGCTCAGAGCTGCCGCAGCGCCGGAGCCGGAGCGCGCGAGCTAGCAGGGCGCTAGGAGCACCCGTGGTGGCAACGCACCCAAGACCCGGGCACCGCTGCGCCCCTGCTCAGGGTCCGTGACTGTAGCTCCTGATCACGGCCAGAACCCCCACTGGCCCCGAGCCCACCCCAGCCCGGCCTAGCCGAGCCCCCGCGTCTGCTAGCAGCAGCCGCCGCAGCCGCCGCTCCATCCCCAGCCCGGGCCCCGCAACCAGGTGAGGCGGCCGCGCGCCGGGGAGTGGAAGGGGAAAGGAGAGGAGCCTCGGGTGGGATGAGGAAGGATGGACTCTTCACTGGGGCTGGAGATGGGGAACGGGGTGGAAAATGGAGATCGTGAGGCGGTGACGGGGCACCGGTGGGCTGGTGTGGACGTACCCTGGGGGACGGGTCTTCTTCTCTGAAACTGTCTGGGTAGCGGTGGGGACATGCGTCCGCGACCGTGTGTGCGGGGGGTCCGTGCGCGTTTGAGCATCTACATGTCCTGAATGTGCACGTGAGCGTGTCCGTGGTATGTTTGTGTGCATGTGACCGTGTCACTCACTGTCTTGTGTGTATAGGCAGGTCCCGAGTCTTCGCGCCGCCGAGCGCAGCATCCCGGTTCCGCGGGGCTGCAGCTTGCAGGGCTCCGGATAACCGAGGCGGTGGCCCCTCCCGCGTCCCCGGGTTTCAAGGACGCTAGGACTCACCGAGGCCCTGAGGCCTCGCACGGGGGACTGGGAGGAAGTGGGAGAGGATACGGGACCAGAAGGGCGCCCTGGTCTCAGGGAGGGAGAGGAGGGGACACCTGCGTCCCTTGGGAGGGGCTGGAGTGAGGATGCGGAGCCAGAGCACCGGTTCCTGTGTGTTCGTCCTCCCCAGGCCGCCAGGATGGACGTGTTCATGAAGGGCCTGTCCATGGCCAAGGAGGGCGTCGTGGCCGCAGCCGAGAAAACCAAGCAGGGGGTCACCGAGGCAGCTGAGAAGACCAAGGAGGGAGTCCTCTACGTCGGTGGGCGAGGGGCGGGGTTTCTGGTGTTGCAGGGTTCGGGTGTCCCCCTAGGGGAGGAGGACAGAGTCCTCGGAGGGAGTAGGGGTTCTGGGCAGAGGAATATGAGTCAGCAGATGGGGCGGGTCAGCAGGGGTCACTGGGGACACACAGCTTGCCYATGGAAGCCTGGGTCAGTGACAGACCAATGGAGTCAGGGAGTGCCGTGTGATGAAGCGAGGATTCAGCTGGGGCCAATGCAGTGATTAAATCAGAGAAAGCAGACAGACTCCTTTTTCTTATTCTTGTTTGTTATTGATAACAAGCTACCTGGTGTTGAACCCCTACTCTAGGCCAAGCACTGTGTGAAATAACATAAGACYCTATACCTCATTTAACACTGCCAGCCCATTCCACTGATGGGGAAAACTGGGGCTCCCGGCTATCTAATTATCTTGTCCAAGGTCACACAACTGGTAAAACCTGAAGCTGGGGTTTGAACCTACTTTGATAGACTGGGAAGCCCCATCCCTCCTCTTTGGGCTCTCTCCACCTGCCTCCAGGGCCAAGTTGCTCTCCAGGCTCCCCCTGCTTCCCAGTGCCTATGGGTTCACCATTGCTATCTCTCCACCTGTCCACCCTCCTTGCAGCTGCCAGATGGAGCCAGGAAAAAGGCCAAGTGCTTAAAATCTTCACCCTAAGTGTAAAAGGAGCTTTAGAGTCATTTGCATAAAGAGAGGAAAGGCTGGAAATTGATGTTTGCTGATTTTCTTAGCCCATATGGTGATTCAGGACTTGCTTGTGGGAAGCAGGTATAATTATCCCCTGTTCAGGCTCAAAGGGGTTGATAATTTGCTCAAGGTCATGGCAGATTTGGATTGTGCTAATCTTAAAACTATGTAGTGACCACCTACTATGTGACAGGCATTGTGTGGATGCTGGGGCTTTATTAGTGAACAGCAGATAAGTGTCTGATCTCTTGATGGGGATAAAGAGCATTTCAGTAGTGGAATTTTTGATATCCAAAGGCAGGAATGGGGAATTTTTTTTTTCTTTAAGTACTAGATTGAACCCAGGGGCACTCTACCATTGAACTTCACCCCAACCCTTTCAATTTTTTGAGACAAGKTCTTGCTAAATTACAAAGGCCAGCCTCAAACTTACAATCCTCTTGCCTCAGCCTCCCAAGTAGCTGGGATTATACACACGTGCTACCACACCTGGTTAGGTTCATTTTTTGGATAAGATAAAAAGAGGAGATGACATTTGAGCTGAGCCCTTCATAATAAAGAGCCAAGTGGAGAACAGGGGAGGCAGAAAAGGCAAGGGGGATGGTCTGGAAAGCCAAGGGCAGGAAGCAGTGATAGGAGATAAGGTCAAGTTTGTGGATGAGAGTCAGTTCAAGAGGGGACCAAGGCACCAGGCATTGTGGAGCACGCCTGTAATCCCAGTGGCTCAGGAGGCTGAGGCAGGAAGATTATGAGTTCAAAGCCAGCCTCAGCAGTGAGCCCCTAAGCAACTTTTATTTAGAGACTCTGTCTCTAAATAAAATATTTAAAAGGCCTGGGGAGGTGGYCTGGTGGTTAATTGTAAGTGTGGGGAGAGATTGTAAGCAAGAGACTGCCATGATCTGACTTCAGATTAAAAAGGCCTCTCAGGCCCCTGGGGATGGAACAAATTACAGGGAAGCCTTCCACTAAGAAGTAGGGTAGCCATCAAATGAGTGTGGCAGTGGTGACAGAGACAAGGAAAAGTCTTGAACTCTGGCCTCCCTTCTGCCTCCTCCCCAGCCCTTTCACTCCTATTGACCCCTCACACTATTCTCTCTGCAAATAGACCCCACCCCAAGCCATGCTGCCCTTCTTCTTAGATTGGTAACTTCTGTTCCTCCCCCTGCCCAGAAACCCCCATGGACCCCAGTCCTCACACATTAAAGCCTCAGCTCAGCTCCCTGTAGCCTGGCATCCCAATGCTCTTCATTTTCCTGCCTCAGTTTACCTTTCCAGCTTTGTCTCTCACCATACCCATTGCTCCTAGCATGAGGACCAAAATCATGCCTCCCTGAGTCTTGCCTGCATGGTTCCTTGAGCCTGGATCACTCTCTCCAATCTCCTTCCTGAATATCCACCTGTTCATTCATTTCTCAAGGTCCAGGTAGTGTCCCCTCCCACTTCACACAACCCCTGGGGGCTGGAGACCCTCTCAGCACTACTTGAGGTTCAGAAATTGAACATGCTCTTCTCTTACTTCCTCAGACAGTGAGCCGCTAGCCCACTGCCTGGCTCAGAGCATATGCAAACCAGGCACTTTGGGGAGGAATGAGGGGTGGGCATGTAGCCCATGCTCGGGCATCTCCTGATTCCAGAGGACCTTAGCCCTGAGAACCCTTCTTCCCATGTGGACCCCTGCTCCTCTCACCACATGCCTCAGCGTGCCCAGATGCCCATTTCTGAATTTATCAGTGGTTGTCTGGGTTGCTAAATTCTCAGCATGAAACACACCCCACTCTCTCCCTGTAGGACCCTTGCAGCAGATCAGGCCTTCTTACCTTTCCCAGTGCCCACACCCCATTTTGATGTGACCAAGTTGCTACCCTCCTGGGAAGGCACGGCCAGTCACAATATGCATATCACCTTTAGAACCACCCTGCGCCTAAGACTCCCCATTTTGGCCAGAAGGAGGGCTTTGACCCTTGATAGGAAGAGTCTAGAAGAAATGGAGTTGGAGGCAGTGGCACATGAGCAGTCATACATCAGGGACACCTTTCAAAATTCATAGTCCCCCAGCTCCACCTGCCTCCATCCTGGGCTAAAATATTTACAGAACAGAGTGGGTAGCAGGAGTTTTAGAGTCAGAAAGGCCTATAGGACTCAGTCACTTACTGGTTGCAGGGCCCTGACTGAATTCGTTCCCATCTTGTGAAATAGGGACAACAGTGTCCCCCTCCCAGGGCTAGGGAGAGTAATGCATGAAACGGTGCAAGTCACATACTTTACACAGTGCTGGCACTCAACCAACATCCCCTGGGAAGGTGGTGGAAGTGGGGTAGGACTGGGAAACCTGAGAAAGTAGGTATGGAGGGCTCAGTGTGGTTAGCATGGGGGAAATGGGGACCCAAGAAAGCAAATAGTGGAACCGAGGTACTCTCTATCACCTGGGTCCCCCTGTCCACCATGTGCTCTGCTGGCCTCTGTTTTCTCATGGAGACTCCTTAAATGTGTTCTTTTTCCTCCCTGCAGGAAGCAAGACCCGAGAGGGGGTGGTACAAGGTGTGGCCTCAGGTACCCATCCAGCTCTGGCACAGCCCCTTCCCTCACCCAGCCCGTGATCTGGCTGGGGTACAGAGGGCAGGAGGGGACTCCCAAAGCTTCTGTGAGGGGTGCTCCCTGGGAAGGGCATGCCCTGGGATATTGTGTGGGGACATCTATGCCTCCTTCACCCTGGCCCCCAAATCCCTTCCTCACCCCCTCCCTGCTCCAGTGGCTGAGAAAACCAAGGAGCAGGCATCACATCTGGGAGGAGCTGTGTTCTCTGGGGCTGGGAACATCGCAGCAGCCACAGGCCTGGTAAAGAAGGAGGAGTTCCCCACCGACCTGAAGGTGAGTGATCTCCCTCCCCCCGCCCCCTCCTCTCTCTTTCTCTTTCTCTCTCACACACACAAGGCACACAAATAAACCCGTCACCATGTTCCCCTTTGCCCCTGCTAACCTGGGGAACAAGTGTCTTTGTGTCCTGTTCTGCAAGACTACACTAGGCTCAGCTAGGAATGAAGTCTGAAGGTCTACATGGGTGCACTGCATCCAGGGATGTAGCTGGCTGGGTGTCCCCTGCTTGCCAGTGTGATCCAGACCACTTCTGGCTACATCTGCCTGGGCCACTGACTGTTCGTTCATTTCTTTTCATGGAACAAAAATCCATGGAATTGTTCTAGAGGTTCCCATGTGAAAGGGTTCCTCCATTTGTGCAACTGATGTTGTAGCAGCAGAAGACAGTAAAACCCAAGTCCATAAATAAGGTAATTTCAGACAGGATAAGTGCTATGAAGAAAAGACAACATGGATGGCACATGCCTGTAATCCCAACAGTTCAGCAGGCTGAGATAGAAGGATCACAAGTTCAAGGCCAGCCTCAGCAACCTAGTGAGGCCCTAAGCAACTTAGTGAGACCCTGTCTTGAAATAATGGATGTAGCTCATGGTAAATTGACCCTGGTTAAATCCCCAGTACCTCCACAAGGAAAAAGAAAAKATGATGTGGGTGATGATATAGAATCAAGAGAAGAGAGGCTACTTGAGGAGGGAAGATATCTTCTCATTATCTCTGAGAAGATGATGTTTGAGCTGGCACCCAAGGGAGGAGAAAGAAGATGTGCAGGAATTATATTTCAGGCAGGTAGGAGCAGTGAGGCAAGTGTGAGCCATGATGGCGTCAGAGTGGTATGACCTGTCTGTCACACATTTGTGCACATATGCTACCTCAGTAGAGTGGTGGTTGCTACTCGTGTATGAATGGAGACAGAAGGCTTCATTAAGACACCCCATAAGGAAAGAGTGGTGAGCTCCTGAGCYCCATGGAACTGGGTTCAAATCCCAGATCCACTACTTCCAGGCTCTATGGCCCTGGGTGGGTCCTATCATATCTCTGAGCCTCATTATCTGCCTGCAACACGGAAAACATACCCAAAAGTACTCTTAGGTAAATTGGGGATGATATAGATCAGAGATTCTTAAACTTAAACATGCACAGAATCACAGGAGGCCAGATGAAAATACATAGGGTTGGCCCCATCCCTAGAATTTCTGGTTCAGTAGATCTGAGGTGGGGCCCAAGAATTTGCCCTTGATGCTGATGCTACAGTTTTAAGGACCACACTTTGAGAACCATTGAGATAAAGAGAGCCTGGCCTCCATACAGTAAGTGCCCAGTCATGGTCAGGTAAACAGTAGCTATCTACCTGCAGGAGATCATGGCATCACAGGTGTGCAGAGAAGTGTGCCCATGACAGTGTGCCCTGTGGTCCTAACCACGTGTATACCTACATCCCTCCTGTGGGTGCCCCTGTGTATCCGTGGCTGTAGGCGTCGGGCTCTTTGTTCAGTGTTGGGCTGGGTGATCAGTATATATTCTGTGACCATACCCATGGGTCTGGGGAGACCCCATACACCCCCAACTCCAGACATTTTGCACAGTTGGTTCCTTCCTCTGTCAGAAGTCTGGGTCTTAGCTCAGAAGTTCGAGTTTCGAGTTCTTTCTCTGCATTTACCATCTGTACATGGGAACTCATGTCCCATTTCCAATAATTATGTTAGCACTAATTGCTCCCGTTCATTGATCACTAGACATTAACACGGAGTGACTTACCAAATCTTCACCATGTCCCTTTGAGGAAGGTACCAAACTAGCCCATTTTATAGCTGGAGGAACTGAGGCTCAGAAAGGTGAAGGGACTTGCCCAAGATCCCAGTTCCTGCCCACTTCCTTTATGAGGTGGTTGGGAGGATATGCTCAGGTGCTGGCCCAGGGCCAAGGTGTGTGCTAGGTGCTGAGGTGCAGAGAGAGGCAGATGGGGGCCTGACCTGTTGGCCTCTAGGCTTTTTGTGAAAGGTCTTTGCACAGAATCATCTCTCCARCCACCTTTCTCCCAGTGGTGCCTGTGGACACATCAAGGCTGCTTTCTCAGGGAGGTGAGGATCAGGGTCATGATCCAAACAGCAGCACTTTGAGGCTCCCTGGGGTCGGGGAACCTGTTTAAGCTCAGGGTCAGCATTTCTGAGTCTCCAGCTTCCAACATGCTTTTCCTACATGACCATGAAGTCCTCGCCGTATTCCTTCAAGGCACACGGCATCCTCCTTCCCACCCCAGGCTGCTGTGATCAGAGGTGAAATGACTTGTCTAATTCCAAATCGCTAGTGAGGCCAGGCTGGGATGTGTTTTTATGTGACTGGGGCGGGGGGTACAGGGGATCAAAACCAGGGCCTCACTAATGCTGAACACATATGCTCTACCACTGAGCTAAACCCCCAGCCCTTAAATGACTTTTCATTGAAGTACAACATACATGCAGCTCCATGAAATTTTCAGAAAAGGAATGTCCCCATAATGATCAGCAGCCAGCTCAAGACACAGAATATCAGCACCCCCAGCCCCTCCTATTGTGCTCCCTTCCAAGTCCCTACCCCTAGGGCCGAGACTAGGGTGAGGCAAGGGAGGTGTGGGGGCACTCACACATTGAGTCTCCTTTGCAGGATTCTGGGAGCAGGTGCCTCCCTAACACTCACCATATGCACCTCACTTATCTTACCCCAATCCTGGCCCTACCTAACCCCCTCCAGAGGTTCACACTTCCTGACTTCTGTCACCACAAATTAGTTGTGGTGTTTTTAAACTCCACTTCAGTGTCATAAAGTGCATGCTCTTCTGTATCTGGCTTCTTTCATTCAACGGGAAGTTCTTGAGATCCAGCCCTGCTCTTAGAGGTGCCGTCATTCTTCATTCATTCATTTTTTTT